ACACAGATCTGTACTGAGTGCATAATGTGCGTCATTGTCAGACACACACTCACCCTGTAGCTGTGAAAAAGCTCAATTGCTCGCAGAACATCAAACTTGCGGGCCATCAGAAACTTCACGGCCACGTCCCAGGACAACGGTGAGACACCATGTTGGGACGTCCATTTGTTGATTTCCTCCAAAAACTGCTTTGTGGCCTGAGAAAGAAAGAGATAAATGTTAAGTCTGGCATTAATATGGGACATACTGCTCAATTGTTTTTTCCCCACACGCAAAATCAACAGCTGCCACCAACTGAATGCGGGTACATTTTGTGCTGTGGCAAGTTCATAGTCTGCGACGCTGAGACCTGCACTAGTGTGTGTCTGTCAGGCGGCTTCGATTAGGTTTACGTCAGGGATTTACAAAAGATTTGCAGCCAAAACACTGTGTTCTCAGTCATTTCCTGATAACTATAAACACTCGCATACAAACAAGACCATAACAGAGCAAGGTAGGAGACGTGGAAAAAAAACCTGAATGATGTTTGGATCTGGAAAGCAAAGAAGATCCAGATGGGGAACCAAGAGGCTACTTTGCTCATCTCATATCAAACACAGTGACGAAATCAAGCTAAACTGCATTACACTGACTCTCTATAGAAGAAAACCGATGCAAATCACATGACAGCAACTTCAGGTTGTCTCAGAACTGATTTTCATATGTTTGCAATGCATTCTGGGAGACTATGCCTCCACTCGACTGCAGTATCTCACAGGAAACGCCTCGCATGGCTCCAGTGTCTTCACTCCTATTGGTTAAACCTTTCTCAACTTTTTTGGACAAGCCATATGTCCATACATATGTCCGGCTCAACATAACAGGATATTTACCCAACATACTGGACCAATGCCATCAGCTATAGACGTCTGAAACTATTTTTCAGAAATCTGTGCAAATAAAGCGTCACCATTCATTTGACCTGAAAAAAATAAGCTTTTTCTCTCTCCAGAGGGTCCAGTCCACCCACTTGCACAACACTGTATCCTTAAAAGGACAGATAAGCAGCAGATCATGCCAGACAGGCCTGAATTCTGCAGAAATCACCC